ATTACGCTGCACCTACTGTGTGACTCGCACTGGCTTTTTATGACGCTTTGGCCGCACATTTTCACATTGACTCATGATTATGGATGGCCAATCCTTCTCGATACTGGGGCGGCTAGTTGGATCCTTGAGAATCCTTCTGTTATCTCACTGTGGGCCTTTTCGCCGTCGTTTCTTATACCCTTTTCATGGCGTGCCCGCCCCGTAGCTCAGTCAGTTCGAACTCCTGCCAACCAATCTTCCCGTGGCGAGATGGTGGGTACGGGCCGCTTCGCCGTTCGCTATTTGTCCCTGGCTGGGATGGCCCGCGACTGTTGGCAGCGGTCGCGCCAAAGGTCAGATGAGGTCAGAGGGCAGGCGGACTATACCGAGCTAGCGTTAGCTCTGATCCCAAGAAATTCATTCAATAAAAATGCTCGGACTATTTGTTTAATGCCAAAGGAACTCGACCGATGCTCAAGACCCTCAGGTTTTCGGAGCCCCTTCCTTGCCTCTGTTCAGGAAATGGTCCCTTGCTCACTCTGGTTCCTTGCCGACACAAGATCGCTTGTTAGGCACGAGGCTCTCTGACTGACGCAGTGTCCCCATGTTTCTGGGGCCCCGAGTTACTCAAAAAGGAGGGAATGTACCCGCCCCCCCCCCCCCCCCCGGACCTCTGACTTGGCAATTAAGGCCACTGGAACCAGTTCCTGATTGGAAATGGAGTCTTAAGCCGTCTGTCTTGTGCTGGTGGTCTCTGACTGACATAGGGACCCCCACTTGTCTCAGAGGGCCCCCGATTGACGCAAGAGGCCCTCCAGCCGGCATTCGAGGACCGGCCCAACAATCCGGGCCTTCGGTCGTCGGTTCAGATGGCCCCGAAAGGCCCTTTGATACGAAAGGAGGGAATGTACCCGCTACCCCCCCCCCCCCCCCCTCCCGGACCTCCGGCTTATTTTATGCATATATGCCTCATTTATACCGTATTCTGTAACGGGTGGTTATTGGGCGGAAGGAAGCGGTATCAGCAGCAGGCACACCTTGAAGTCATGTAATGCAATGCAGTTCACCACAAACCACGAAGGCTTCAATGCAAATGCCCCATGTTGCCGTCTGCTTTACGCGGCTTGGACGTGGCATAGACGCCTAGCGCCCGCCACTGTTTCGAGGCTCCTCATCAGTTGCCAGACTCCGCTTTTTGCGCCAATATTGGCCACCAGATAGAGTGGTTCACAATCCAAACAACAGGCAAGTTACCCCAAGAAACTGTTTCACTCACCGGGGTTCGCGCTGTAGGTGCTCTGCCACGCTATTCTCTGGCACCTTTTCAGCTGCATTTCTGTGTAACGTGATAGAAACTGCCGTCACACCATGTTAGCAGTTGGGGGCAGTATAGCGTACCTTCACCAGAATAATCGTTTTGCCAATTTTTCGTATCAGGCCAGGAATAAGGCGCAACTTCGCAGAACTTGGAGCTGGCGTCAGCTAAATATGTGTACGCAAATTCGAAATATTTCCGGACGGCCAACAGGAAGCGGCCTTCGGGGCGCTGGGCTAAGCACTGCTATTCCTGCCTTTCAAGTAAGATCGTGAGAGGTTTTCTTTTGAGCATCGCCAGAAACGGCCCGGAAGTCTTTTGACGTCTGTAGCCATTTCCTTTTATTAAGGGCCAGTACAAAAATGCAAGGTCTCAGCCAAGTCAACTGAGTTTCCAGAGGTGTGAGTGGAGGTTGTTTCAGAAAACTTGTTAGAAACGTCGTCAGAAACGGCCGGAAATCTTTTGACATTTGTAACCATTTCCTTTGATTAAGGGCCAGTCCAAAAATTCAAGGTCTCAGCCAAACGAACTGTGTTTACAGCGGTGTGAGTGGAGATTATTTCAGAAAACTTGCCGGCTTCTCGCAACTTAGCTGTCACAATAAATCGCATGCATTTACGCTGCATGACAGATGGTAATACTTACGCATAAATATTTTCCCAGCTGACGTTGAAGCGTCACCAGCAAACTATCATGGGTGGTATTAAATAACTGTTCTCTGGCATCTTTCATCACCTTCGGGGAAACCACTCACCACGTGTTCTGTGGTAGGCAGCTTGATTTCTGGGAGATGCTATCAGGCGAGGTGTGGTGATGTCGCAGTCGCAAGAGGGGATCCAGGGAAGTGATAACAAAAGGTAGAGAAGGTGCATTTCATGGACGCACCCCGCGGACGGAGCTAACGCAATCGTCCGGGGGTGTTGGGCATGAATTCGTACGCAAATTTTCATTTGATTAGAAATCCGACAAAGACAGAGACAGTGTTCGAAGAAGATGAATGGCTACTTTCCTCTTTCGATTTTTAACTCTCGTTCATTAGCTGTCGCGAGCATGGGAATAAGAGCAGGACGCTAATTGTCTCCCCAGCTGGTGTCTGATATTCCTGAGGAGATCCAAGTCAGCATTTGTGCCTGCATTTTTGTTTTTTGGAGTACTCTACACGACCATCGTAGAGTGTTAACTTGTTTTGTGACAGTCGCCATGTAGGTGATTTATCAGTGTACGCATAGTGGGATGAGGAGGAACTTGGACGGGGATAGAAGGCTATTGGCCTGTTAGCGTAAGATAAGCTGCAGAGTATAGGAGCAGGATTCATGCGCTCCTCGAAAAATGCGGCTTTCCTCGCACAGTCACGAACATTCAGGCATTCTTGACTGATGAGGTCAACTGAGTGCCCGTACTGGCGTGTTTCACTGCGTTCGTCACGTGATGAAGTACGCCGAAGGAGGCTTAGGTCCACATCGGTGAGCAGTGCCGCCTGTGCCACCGACATCATCTGTCGTAATGCATCAACATGAGCAATGTCATGACCAACCAAACAAAAAGTCAAGCAAGCAGCAGGGCTCTTCGCTTGCGCAACAGCGGTTGAGTGCCAAACGTATTCCTTATCGCTGGCTGTGGCACCGGGCAGTGGTCACCCCAGCACGGTTGGGCTCCGCACACCGGGGAAACGATGCGGGCCGATCACTGATCGCTGCGCCCTGGTGCAGCGCCGCTTCATGTCAGCATCGTCTTGTCTTCACATCTTCATTCTTCGTCTTGGTCAGCATCGAGTCGAACTTCACACTCACTGGGAGGGCGGAGGGTGCGCGGAGAGCGCCAGACCCCGGCACCCCCGGCAGCCCTCGTCACGTCCCGTGCCATTTTAGCTGATCGCCCATGCGGACGCTTGGGAGCTGGCCTGTAACATAATTCCCATGATACGACTTTCAATCCCGGTTTTGTGGAGCTTTATGTGGCAGTTAATATTTCAGCACCACATTTTTGCTCCTAAAGTTGGTGTATGTCATCCATTCTCAACGACAGCGAATAAAAGTTTTCTTTCTGGGGTGAGCCATTGATTCAAGCTAATCCAGCGCACTGGTTTGGAATTATCGGCAGCAAGACTGTTGATATGCAATATGCATGCCAAAGTTGAGATGTCTTTGACTTCTGTCCGTGGTCAGCGCCTAATTTTGGGCTGCATGCTTGTGTATGGACGTTTCTGTTATTCAGCTGAATATGTCGCTTTTATCAAAAGATCGCACCCCACAAAAAATCTACCTGTGTTTTCTTTGGATGAACAGAAAATTGTAAGTACAAAATCTACCTTCCAAACCCAGCAAATCTTGAACAACTGAACTATTCCCGTTTTTACCCGGTGCTTTCGGTCGTAACGCGGTGTATCGAACTTGGCCACAATGAAACGACAGCTGTCGCGCACTTGCCTTCTATAAGAGATATAATAAACCCAAAAAACTCTACGGATTTATTTTGATCAAAGCCAAGACCTCGGGAAAAAACAAAGGATACCGAGCGGTGTTAACAGGTTGCCGTAATTTTCTCTGTGTTTAAGGACAACATTGCGCAAGCGTTTGAGCGGGCCTGCGATATCTTTTGTCAGAAAATAAACATAGCTCAATGCGTGAGCAATGCGCCGGTAATCACATTTGATGTAGGAACGGTAATTTCTCAGATCGCCCGGCTACGTCGCCACATACCATGTTTTTGCCATCGGATGGTCATGTGCATATGGCAAAGTGGACGTTGCTGGTTGCCCTACTAATTCACTCATTAGCTGTGGATTCATGGTAATACCCAATGGATGCCGCGGACGTTTCTCTCGCGGGATGACAATGATTTGCGATTTTTATTGGCGTTTGTTTTGAGTGGATGATCTACCGACATTAAGGTTGATTCGTGGAGTGCAGGGAGGACTCGAATATTGTCCCTGTTACTCACTCTCCACGCCCGAGGGTTGATTAGAAAGGAACAGGGTATAACTAAACAAAGTACACTGGCGATGTTCCCGCAACTTATTTGTGTCGAAGTGGTGGAAAGCACACAGCTTTTACAAAGCTTTCAGTCCCATTTTACAACACTGTGGACGTCATCACCCATACACCAAGGAACGTCACACTTCTGTCTACCAATCACGTCCATCTCGCTGGAGCAGTTTGACCAATGGCGATGTTCGCGCACGCGCGCCGCACAAGCCAGTGGCCAATTATATGTTATGAACGAAACCCTTTCCCCAACCTATTTTGGGTGTATCGCATAAGGTAACTTATGATCACATTGGTCTGCCGTCATCACTGATAATGTCATAAGAAACCTAAACTCTAAAGACATAGACCAAGCAGCCCTCAATATTATAAAAAGGGTGTTAAGAATGTCGTGTAGATTTACATCTGCCTAGCAATTTGTCCTTCTCAGTTAAAAAGCCGTGCAATGCTGGAACGCTTTCTATGACAGTCATATCGCCAAATACAGCAGACGGACTGGAGCTGCTGACAATCGTGCAGTGCGTGACGCGCCTCGCTCTCGCCAGCGCGCTGGAAACAGAGCTCATAAAACGCAGGCTTGGGGAGCGTCGTCGCCATATCACGTGCGCTGCTGCCGCTTCCGGAGAGGTGCTTTTCCATTGCCATACAATTCCAATATGGTGTTCTGCGGTGTGGCCTTATCGCGAACAGCCGCGTCGATTGATACATGCATCGCGTTGCAGGACATCCATTCCTGTCCGACTTCAACACTGCCACCCACCTGGCCGAGGGAGAGGAGGCCAGGTCGATGACCGGAACCAAGCCGTACATGGGTGAGTGCGGAGACCCAAAGACGGGCCGAACGGCTCCACGCGTAACGCGACTGCCCCCTGGGGCGCCGATAAACGGCCGAATCAGCCGAACAACAGACGGCCTAATCGATCAGCTTTGAAATGGCTAATATGCTGCAATGGGCGTTTCTCATCATCATTTCCCATCAGTGTTTAAGTTGGGTCAGCTCATGTAGCTGTTGGTTTGAGAGATTCTACGCCTACCATGCTGCGTTCTCCGCCCACGGAGATAGCCCGGAATCGATCGAGATCGAGAATCGAGATACCGGGCTTGCGACAGATAGTTTCTCTGTCACGAGGTGCAATCAAGCCTGTTACATTATCACTCGGTAGTAGCGGCCTGCGCCCTGGGAGCCTAACCCGCGGCAGCCGGGCGGCAGTTGACCCCCCCCCCCCCTCCCCCTCCCGCCTTCCCCTTTGCATGCTGACGCCCCACCTAGCGGACGTCGCAACACCGCCCGTCCCACGGAACACCTCCCCACTGACACCACCCTGCTGACGCCCGCCGCAGCGCCGGAGATCTTCGACTGCCAGACGGAGGAGCGGGCCGGCTACAGCTTCGCGGTCGACTGGTGGTCGCTGGGTGTGGTGGCGCTCGAGCTGCGCCAGGGCGTGCGGCCGTTTGAGGTGCACGCCGGCACGCCGATCGGCGAGGTGCGCGACCGGTTGCGCGCGCCGCCCCGCTGTCCAGCCAGCAGCGAGCCAGGTTTTGGCACGCTCATCAGCAAGGTCAGCGCATAATCCCGGTGGGGGGAGGTGTTGTAGTGGTGGCTGTGTAGGGGGTTTGCGGGGGGGGGGGGGTAGGTGGTTGTAGCGGTGGCAGTGTGAGGGTTTGAGAGTAGGCGGCGGTCGGAGGTGTTGTAGCGGCGGCGGTGTGGGGGTTTGCGGGGCGCAGGTGTTGTAGTGGTGGCGGTGTAGGGGGGTTTGCGGGGCGTAGGTGTTGTAGCGGTGGCGGTGTTGGGGTTTGCGGGGCGTAGGTGTTGTAGCGGCGGCGGTGCAGGGGGTTTGCGAACAGGCGGCGGACGAGTGAGATGTCCGTGAAGCAGCGGCGGCGGCGGCAGGAGTCTGTAGGCTGTTTGCAGAGTTGAGAGGTACCAGTGTACGAGCGGGAGAGAGAGAGTCTTGTTTTAGGGGCGAGGTCAGGAGAGACGCGATAGCGGCAGGGTCAGGAGAGCCACGTGTACCAGTGGAAGGCTCGGTATGGATCGCAAACCCACATATTGGATTGCTCATGGCGTCCGGCACTAGAGCGTAGGGAGCGGGACCGAAAAGGAATAAATGGCTAGATGAGGGTAGACCCAATGTGACCTGGTGTTCCGGTCGACATCAGCTGGTTATTACCTCCGGTGTCGGTAACAGCTCTCAGCCGGTGTTACGGATGGCCTGCCGGGACGGAGAAGGAGCCACAACTACAATAACCCGTCGCCGCCGCGGCCGGGTGGGCGGTCTCCGCGCGCCAATAAAGCCACCACCGCCCGCGAAGACCGATGGCAGAAACAAGACGAATGACGCCGTGGCGTTACCGCGAACTCGAACTCTCCACGGCCGCCGCCAAACGAGCGCGGGCCGTCGTCAGCCGCCCGTAGTCGGCCTTTGACACGGTGGAGGGGCGAGGCGGGGGGCGTCGAGAACGGCGTCACCTGGCGTGGGCCGGCGAGGGTTAGCCGTCGGCGCACGCGACGCAAGCCACGATTGATGGATGAGCTGGGAGGGCGGCACAACAGCGCCCGTTTGTGAATAGGGATAAGGCGCGGAGCGTGCTTCATGGCTGAGCGCTGTGCTGTTGTTGGGAGGGGGTTAGACGGCGTCTGTCTGGGCCATCATTTATTTGCTCGCTGCGTCGTTTGGTGCTATGCAGTGATACATTTTCACACATTCACAAGTGAGTGGGTCTTTTTAACAACGCGTACGATATCTCACTGCGAGGTCGGCACACCGAGCAGTGGAGAAACATCGCACAACACACCGAGCAGTGGCGAAACATCGCACAACACACCGAGCAGTGGCGAAACATCGCACAACACACCGAGCAGTGGCGAAACATCGCACAACACACCGAGCAGTGGCGAAACATCGCACAACACACCGAGCAGCAGTTGCGAAACCTGGATACGGCGTTGATCTGATGATTACGAAAATAATTGTAAGCTTGTTTTGGATTTTATGATGATGCGTATTCTCTACGTCATTGCGAATTCCCACATTTTACGTGAAATAAAAAAGGTACCCGGCTTTGAGCGAATGTTTTGCTTTTTTCAAATATGTGAGGAGTTGCGGTGTACTCCCTGGCTTAATCTTTTATCTTGTTTATTGCAACGGTCTAATAATGAAGTGAAAGAAAACGATTTGCCCACCAAACTTCACGGGATTGCTATGATGTACCCATCCTGAGAAGTTTTGCCTTAACGCGGGCGCAGTGGTGGGTGAATGACCCTAGTGACACTTCTATCATGACAGCGTTTTAGCCCATATTATTGCTGCCGAAGATAGTGAGCAATGGTGACAGCCTTTGAGCTGTGCTTTTGTTTTCTTTTTGCTTTTGCTTTTTAGCTGAAAGCCGTTTCCACATTCACCATCATATTTTCCTCGTAAAAATGCGATCGGTAAAATTTGGTTAGGCTTAGTATCTTTGACTGTGAGTGGAAGTTTGTATACTGGACATAAATGAGCAGAGCGTACGCCATGCTTCTGAAAGTTGCCTTTGATGTTTTATGCCTCTTGCTCTAAAATGAAAATTGCCTAGGAATTAATCAAGCGGCTTTGTTCTGTGTTGGTGTTGGAAAGCGTGTTGCGTAGTATAACGTTAAGTCGGGGCTCATTCACCCGCGACCGATGTATTTGTACAGTATATTTGTACAGTATAGACACGGACCAAATCATTTCTGACTTTCATCTAGTGTGCGATCTGTGGGGGCCACACTTAAAGTGAGTCAGTTCCGTTCGCGCTGCTTTGACGTTTTAGGCTGCAGGTTTACTCAGAGTTATGTGTTTACTTTGTACTTTCCTTGGCCCGGCAGTAGAAATGGTGTCATTCGGTGATATATTTGACACCTATTTTGTAATGTTTAAATTTTTTGATTCACAATAATTTTCACTATTTGTACTTAGTGCGACTCCATCGCATGTTCTAGTGCCGTGGTAACTAGATTCGCGGGTTTGCTGCAGAGGTTTCTTGATAAATATAAATGTTTATAGGCATATGTGTTTGTAGGATATATATATATATATATATATATATATATATATATATATACATTATGTATAAAATGTCCATGTAGGTGTCACCCTCGGTGCATGTGTTGTTGGGCCACCCTAGTTCATGTGCTCTATAGCAAGCTTTATTATTGTGATAGATAAATGAAAGCCAAGCAGCTAGGTAGTACTTTTTAACTTTAAGATATCTAAAAGCATTTCTGTCTCCCCCCCCCCCCAATCAGCCAGCAGATGACCCCTTCCTCTGACCCTGACCAGCCAATGACCTCTTGGACCTCAGGTCAGCCAAGAACTGTCTGAACTGGGTGCAACAAGACTGTAGAGCGAACGCTTAGCTTCAGGCATTGCAATATCTGATCTCAAAGGCGGGTGTTACGGCAATGTATGTACGAGACAGCAGAATCCAGCAGCGCTCGCATTTTTCCAACAGCGGGGACCTTTGCCACGGGTGACCGTGGAGCGGCCTTTACGGCACGTTTAAGACCCTGCAACACTGCCTGGTTCGCTGGTAGCGACAGAATTGCCTCATAACTGGGAACACTGCGCCAGCGGATAGAGTCTGGCCAGTAACTTCGGGCTGCCTTGGTCCCAAAGTCAATTACTGGGGACGCTAAGCCCTCGCATTGGCCGCTTGCTCCGCTGCGCGGCAACTTAACATCTCGTGCGCTCTGCATGGATCACGCTGAAGCGACTCCTGCGAGGCAGCGCGGTTCTTGTGTTTCGAACGATGGCGTGCAGTACCATTTTGTGTCTTTTCAAAAAGGACCCATAGAGAAGCGTAACGCAGCGGCGAAGTATGTGAAGTTGGTGAGCACGTATCGGAGGAGTCATTGAAACGCCTGGGCATTTGTGGTGCGGTGTCATGGACCGACTCTTCGCACCGCAATGTCCACCGCAAGGACATTCAGAGTTACGCACGGAAGCTAAACGCGTTTCAGTGCACCGAGGGTGAACAGTGAACGTCCGAGGCTTTGGTTGGCACCCAGTCGTCTGTGGTGTGCGTGCCGTGGGTTGTGGCTCATAGTCAGCCAACAGTGGGCTGTAGTTTGCGGCCCGTGGTCTGCGGCCAGCGGTCTGCGGCCAGTGGTCTGTGGCCCGTGGTCTGTGGTTCGCGTTCTGTGACCCGTGGTCTGTGCGTCGTGGCTGGTTACTCATAGTTGGTGGTCCATCCTATTCCCATGTTCCTTAGCACATTTTCCGTGATCGGTGGTGTCTGATCTTTTCGTCACTTGCTCATGATTGGTGATCGGCTGTCCCTTGTCCGTATTTTGTGGTCCTTTGTCCCTTGTCCGTATTTCGTGGTCCGTTATCCATCGTTCGTTATCCATGTACGTTTCCCGTGGTTCGTTGCAGGTGTTCTGTGGCCAATCTGCCGTGATATGTTGTCTGCGGCCCCTTGTCCACAATCCGCAGCCCGCGGTCCCCGGTCCGCGGTCCTCGGTGCCCGGTCCGCGGTCCCCGGTCCGTGGTCCGCTGTTCTCGGTCCGCGGTCCCCGGTCCCCGGTCCGTGGTCCGCGGTTCTCGGTCCGTTGTCCGGATCCCTCGGAGCGCTCTCCTTGTCGGACCACCCTAGTTGTTTTTGTTTATGTTTTTGTGCTTTTGCGCATTTAGCCTGTGCTCTGTGCTACGCGACCAGTTGCTCTGCGGTCCGTGACCGACGGTGGCGGCGGCGGCGCAATCGGACGTGACCCGGTGCGGCCGGCCTGTATATACCGCCGGGACGGCCGGGTGATGAGACGGCCTCCCCGGCCGCGCCCGGGTCTTTTATCCGGCCGGCCGGCGGTCAGGTGTGATCAAGGTGATGAGTGTGCGAAGAGCGGCCCGTGCCCCGCGGCGGGCCGCCCTCATCCGATCAATACGGATTCAGAGAGCCGGCCGCTCGTCCTGCGCGGAGCCGGCAGGGTGCCGGGAGACCTGCCGCACACGGAGGACGGTGCGGGTCTGGACAGGGTACCAGGCGACCTGCCGCACACGGAGGACGGTGCTGGTCCGAACAGGGTACCGGGCGACCTGCCGCACACGGAGGACGGTGCGGGTCCGGACAGGGTACCGGGCGACCTGCCGCACACGGAGGACGGTGCGGTCCGGACAGCGTGTACCGAGCGACATGCCGCACGCCGAGGACGGTGTGGGTCCGGACAGGGTACCGGGCGACCTGCCGCACACGGAGGACGGTGCGGGTCCGGACAGGGTACCGGGTGACCTACCGCACACGGAGGACGGTGCGGGTCCGGACAGGGTGCCGGGCGACCTGCCGCACACGGAGGACGGTGCGGGTCCGGACAGGGTACCAGGCGACCTACCGCACACGGAGGACGGTGCGGGTCCGGACAGGGTACCGGGCGATCTACCGCACACGGAGGACGGTGCGGGTCCGGACAGGGTACCGCGGTGGTCGCAACACGCGTGGGAGGGGGCCGGACAGTGGCTGCTCGGTGAAGGTGATCACTAATGGCTCATTCACGACGGCGTTTAACAGTGCCTCCCAGCGGACGTGAGGACGTCGATTCGAAGGAGGCCCTGCCGAACTACAGACGTGTGGGACGTTAGTCTGGACTGGAGACGCCGAGGGCTGGTCCAGTCCGGAGATGAGCGGAACGGTTGCATGTCATGGGACTTTGGGATACGCCCATTTCAGTACCGTCACGGTTAACCCAAGCCGGCCGGTGCATGCGTGGTGGTGGTGATTGTTGGTCACAAGGCAAACGAATCGACCATGCCAATAAGGATGTCTGACACGCGTTCCCATTCGCCTTGTCTCCCCTGGCGTCTTTACAACAAAAGAATTGTCACTTCACTGCGCCACGCTCTTCATCCGCCTCTTGGCGAGACCCTCACCCCCGCCGTCTGCGTGTCCGGCAGCTGCTGCGTCAGGAGCCAGAGCGCCGCGTCGCCTCGCTGGAGCGCATCAGAACACTGCCCTACCTGCAAGACGTCGACTTCGACGCGGTTTACAGCAAGCAGATACCGGTGCCCTTTATACCGCCGGTAAGGACCTGACGCTGGCGCCGCTGGCAGGGTGGTGTGGTGTGGTGTGGTCTGGTCTGGTCTGGTCCGATCTGGACTGGACTGGACTGGACTGGACTAGTCTTACAAACCTCGTTCTCAAAGTTGACCTGGTACGGTATGGCATGATGGGTCATGGTCTTCTCTGTCCTGGATATGGCCTCTGGGCTGGTATTTCACGATACATGGTGGTAGTGATTCCTAACCAGCGGCAAATCTGGTTAAGACTTCCCGGTGTAGACTTGTTTTCTGGCTTTGTATCGTGCGGCGTAATACCGTCTGACCTGGTTAGGACTTCCTGTTGCGGCCTAATCAGGCGTAATTTTAGCGGCGCGATGTGGCATGAGGAGGCGTCGCCTGGTATCTTCACGTTTAATCTACACCAATCTTAGCGGGCACGATCTCTCCCGTTTGTTCTCTCATGATCTGATCTGACGGTAGAGTTTCTGGTGGGGCCTGTGCGGTCCGGACTGTTCTCATTCTGTCCGCTCTGCTAGTGTCGCGTCGTCACGTGGAATAGGAGGTGAACAGGATACCCGCAGGACGGTACAGTGGGTACGAATGAGGCCACATGGGCTCAGACCTATGTACATGCATTGTCTTGCGTGACCAATACCGCGGGAATTCCAAATAAGCTGGCTTCGTATTGCATCCAGCTGTTATTTTTCCGGGCCCCGTGGATTATTCCAGCCGCGCATGCCCAACGAAAACCCGAAAACATAACTAAAAACCCAATGTTTTTGTGCCTGTCGAGGCTGCGTCGCGACTGCTGGTACCTTTGGTTCTTGTGATGCCTTATAGCAATGGGTCGAGAAAGATGCGTGAATTCGCGTAGATGCTTTGCGAGTCACACAGCGGTCTCGTGGCCGACAAATTCCTGCAACACAAACATCAGCAGCTCCAGCCATCTAAAGCATGCGTCTAAAAATAACGTACCCAAACACACCGCGGGGACTACCCAGCTGAGCCACATGGGCAACAGCGAGATGACCTGAACTTGACTGTGAGTCCACCGAAAGAGAGGACTGCTTCAGTCACGGCTATTCATGCCATTTTTGTGGGCAGTGCACAGGTTTGTGTTGGGCGCTGCGTGCTGGCTGTATGCGTTTTCAATCAGTTGAGCCTTCACCCCTTTCTTGTGGTGGCCGCACCCCTGGGCTAAGCAACCGTCAGATAAGAAACGGCGTATTTGGCTTTTATGTTTGACGTTAAAATGCGACCTATCGCGAATTCAACGAAGCCAGTTTCATTTTCACGCTTCCGCTCGTTTTTTGTCACCTCAGCGGAAACTCATTTTAAAAGGCAAACGAGAGTCCATAAGCTGTTTGGACGCAAGCACGATGTCGGCGAGAGAATATTTGCTGGAGGTCGACGCCTGCTGGTGACCTGCGGGGTGACCTGCTGGTGACACGCCGGATGACCTGCCCGGACCCCAACTCTGTGTGCGGCCTCCGTCGATGCACTTGCCAGCCAGAGGGAGGTGGGGGGGGGGGGGGCGTGTCGTCCGGTGTTTGTACGGGGGGGGGGCGTGTCGTCCGGTGTTTGAGCGCCGCGAGTCGTAGGGTCTGCAGCTGCGGAGCTGGGGTTCCTCTGGAACATGTTCTGTCAACACGTCACAGGGGACGATTGATAACGCCAAAGCGCTTCCGGCGTTAGCAAAAGGCAGACGCTTCCCAGCGCTGTATTTGGATCGAGGTGCCCAGCGCAGACTTGACAGAGCTGACAGCTGTGATGGATCGTTTGGGCCGTGATGACAATCGAGCTTTGTCGTTTATCAACGTTCAGTCGAGTCTTATGTCGCGACTGAGCGATTACAGCGTACATAAATGATGTCTCGGTCGAATGCGCGAAGATTAAGACTCGGTGGCAGGTGGGCCCACCGCAACATAGCCTTGCACGGAACAAGACGCACGGTAAAAAGTGTAGTGTGCTATTGGGGAGGTCGCACTTGGGGAGTCCCCAGACCCTCAACTTTAAAAGGAATACAGTTCAAATTCGGAGAGAACCCTGTTTCTTTGGTGTATTTGGGGATAGGTCCCACCATTTTTTCTCGCTCAGACGCTTAACTTATCTTAGGGGACTGCACCCCTGCGCACGATGAAAAGCAGACACCAAGCGACGTTGAGCTACATGATGTGAATCTAGTGCTAATATCAATGTATTATTTGGAAGATTTTCCTTTTATCTAGCAAGAACTTTCACTCAATTAGACGCGCTTTAACGCAAAATTTGAACAGCTGTTTTGCGTTTGTAGCACCAATAAGGCGTAATGAAATACTCCCCTTTCTGATGTAATTCGCACACATGCGTCAGCTGGTAAGATGATGCTGAACTAGTTCGCCTTCTATTCGTCTTTAATGCACATAGGATGCTACCTTGATGGCTGGGTGACTCAGAAAGCATAACAGAACATGAAAACCGCTAAGGGTGTTTTGAAAGCTTGAAATTTCATGCGGCTGATAGATGTGGGAATAAGAGGGGACAAGGTCTCGGTCTAATACGATCCTCGGAAGTCCCCACTGGGTATTTTATGCCGATGGATTCATGCCGCCTTCCTCACGTGCTGACTCATTTTTCGAGAAGTAGTTCATCAACGCTGCGATGTTCAGCTCGTGGATTTGGACGTGCCAGCTGCTCTGAGAACGGTGGAAAAGCCGTGTGGGTTCTCAGCGGGCTCGCGCCGAACCCCTGGGGATAAGCCCTCCCAAACTTGCCCACTGTTTATACAGCTCAGTGCCGACGGCCAGATCCACAAATTTTGGTTCGCTTCCGCGACAACAGAATAAGGCCACCAGAGTGCGCCAAGCTTACTGACGATTTTGTCGATCCCCTGCTGCGGCAAGCACATGGTCGTCGCCACACAAATATAGGTAGGTTGTCAAATATGACGCACAAAATCCTGGCAGGCCAAAACTATGATAGGCTTCTGTACTGCTCACATTCAGCACTGTTCTACCGTGCGGAGCCGGTGCAACACAGCACCAAGGGCGGAGTGCAACATGTATTAATGAGCTCAATTGTGTTACTTCTCTGCAAATATAAGACCGTTCTTCCACTACTACGTAACTGTACTCGTGCATGGATGCATCACATACCCCATGGAAGTCCACTGTGCTGGCGTGCCTCCTTACCTTTGTTTTCTGTGGAGTTTATTCGCTTCCCTCTTCATGGACCGGTTGTCATATTCGATTAACCCGACTGAAGTTGCAAATGTCTTCAGCGTGATAGTAGACAAGTTGCTTCGCCAATACGCATATTCAGAGACATTTTAAACATTGGTTACACTCACTTACTTACGTGATACCCATTCTCGATAGCCAGCCATTCCTTTGGCCATATTTGCTGTGGTTTAGCGTTTAGGCATTTAAGCAGAACAAATATCTTAAATCCATTCGAGCCGCGTGGTTCGTCTTTTTTCTGCAAATTGGATGCCCAAATGAGGGTCATTTAAGTCTTCACTTTGGGATGCCTCGACCGGGCCTACGCCACGCACGCCATCCGATCACGTGACCCTGATTTCACTACGAATCCACCCGGTCCGGATGCCGGCGCATCCCATAAACTTCACGAAAGGTCGTAACCGAGCTCCTGGGACAACCCAGCCACCTCTCCACACCAGACGTGACATTCAGACACGTGGCCGGCACGTGACGGTGGGTGCCGTGCTTCCTTCCGTCAGGCGGGACGACGCGACACGGAAATGTCAATCCAAAGGTCCCGTTGGCGGAACGAGCCTGTTGGGTCCGTCGTACATCCTCATTTCTATTCGGTGCACTACGCTGGGGCTCCTGCAAGAGGCGGGGCGGATCTCTGAAGTTCACGGAGTCTTTGAAAGTTCGGAGCGGCGGATGTCTTGTGACTATAATGCACCGTTTTTCCGTCGCCTTATCGCCGCGTTCGATGGGCCGAGCTGAGCAAACATTTTTTGCAGCGCTGTATCGAACGCCAACCTTGGAAAGTTGTAGATGTGCTTTGACTGAGATACATCCTTCAAGAACGAAGCAGGAAAGTTCAGAAATTTGCTGACAGCACCATGTCATCGCGTGGAGTGTTCGTGTACCTGGTAAACATCCCGCAGCGCACCGATGCTTGCTTCCTTTGCTTCCTTGCCTTCCGCGCCTGTCTTTGTTTTTTTTTTGCGTAATTCAAGGAGTGGGCTTCGATTCATATTATTTCTAAGTTTTTTTTACAAAAATGTAGGAAAGAGTCCACTTTTACACGGATGCAATTTTTTCATTCTTCCTCGTGGCAGCGTCGCCATGGAGGCTGCAGCTGGGTAACTTGAGGCCACATTTTCAATATGTTGTCCTGAATTGAGGGGTAACTATAGACATCGGGGTGAGCCAATTATATTTCTTTTTTTTGTGCGTCAAGTGTGCAGTGCTTGCTGTGCGGGCCATGACCCCCACCATCCGATGGCGCAATTCCAGGCAACGGCAGAAATTAGCAGCGAAAGCCTAACGCGCCGCAATGCTCGGCACGGTCCGTCCTGCCATCCGACGTCAACTGACCCTTTGCGCGGCCGCTGTGACCGGTCGTAAGCCATACCTGTCGAGGTCAAACAGCGAGCGCCCGAAGCGACTCGAACCCACCCCGCCACGGATGGTGAATCAGGACACAGACTCTCTAACGAACTGAGCCCCCAGGACGGCCAGGCGCCCCTCGCGACTAAGCGTGATATTATGTCACTGATTCGTTGGAATAAGATTTCGTAAGACAACAGAGTTGGGAAAGAATTCTGTATTTTTGTGCGGCATCATAGTTGGGGTTATGGGACAGCTCGGGGATAAAATGAGAAACCATATAAGCGACAATTTTGTCGAAACAAATTTTAACCAAGGTCCGTGCTGAACATAGATTATGACTAGCATTCTTAAACCACTGCCTCACTATCTTAATACATCTTCAACGGATCCGTTTTGCCTCGGTCCGTTATCTAAATAGCACGAAAAGACCTTTGCCGTGTCGTGCGACTCCACGGCTGTGGGCCGCCCCGTAACCAAGCTGACACTATCAAGCCAACGGCGAAATGGCCCTCGTTGGTGAGCCAAATATGAACCAAATATTCTGGGAGGCGAACTTACCACTATGCGTTTCAGCACATCACAAATGTGGTCGACGGAACTTCAGCGCTCTACCGAAGTTGGGCTTCCGGCAGGACGATCGGTGTCTGCGCGGCAATACGCGTTCTTCTTGCCAGCATTTTACGCATTGCAGTCAACGGGCTCTAGAAAGGCGATGTCTGCGAATTTCCTCTTTGCCAGCTATTTTGCCAAAAGGCATCACCTGTGATAAAAACGTAAGACGTTTTGTTGAGCTCGGATCAGCACATGGCATCATGAATTTGAACAGTGGTATCGTTTGACAGCCTTACGCCTTTCGGGGAAATAATGCGAGAAAAGTTGAGCCTTGTCCAGAATGGTGTGCCAATGTGCTTTAAAGTAGGCAGGTAGCTGAGTTCTACCGTTTGAGGCTGATTCATTGATTCGAAATTTAATCAGACTTTCATGTTTCAATGGTTTCAGGTTTCAGGCGAATCGCTGTCTGCAGCATACTAATGATACTATCTAATAATGCACAATCCTACACATCTCAATCAGACATGTTTTGTAGAATGCTCGTTTGTCGCTTTGCTATGCTGATGAAAAAAAAGTACACATGAAATGCATACGGCCTGCGTAATATGACATACATTCATTCAACGCAAAATCACCAGCGCCTCATGCAGTGCAACAACAATTTGATAAAATGCATGCATGTGGTAGTTGTATCCATAGCAGATGCATTTTCTACACTACTGTTACAGCGAACTCTTTTATACCATTGTATATGCTGAGCATCTTTATGTATCCGATTAAAGCAGTAAATTGCTTTTAGCTTCAATCTCACACAACTATTGATCAATGTGATTGTTCATTATATTATGAGTTGTTGAGCACATTTGGATCGACAAATTTGGCACATTTGGATCGGCACATTTGAAAAAATCGTGACTTTTATAGAGCAACATTTTACACGGATCCAATCCAAGGATAAAAAATAAAATTGGTAGTAGATGGTGTGATTTGATGATATGGCTTGGTTTCTTAACCCCGTCACTGGATCCGTTAATGTAGCCGGATGTTTTCCACACAGAAAGTAAGCACATATGTAGTCGTACAGAGAAGAGCACATACCAACACTGCAGCACCTCCTATCCTCGTAATATAACTTCTGTTTGCTCTCGCCGCCAGACGACACGTAACAGCTGGGCGGATAAGCGATGCAATAGGCTTTACACAGCCAGGGTCATAAGACACGCAAAGGTCTGAGAGGTGTTTGACTGAAAAGCTCCCGAGCGCGGGAATGACCGGATTCCTTCATGACTAGCCCTGTCTTCGTTGCCCACAACCAAAGCTCCGTGCCGTCGTGCATTTCCCGCCATGAAAGTGTGTCATTGTCCTATGGTGGCCTCTAGAGGGTCGCCTTTGCTTTCAGATCAGCAAAGGGCACGTGCCTCCAGTGTCCCCACCCCCCCCCCCCCCCATTCTTTCCGGATCCTTTTTGATGACTGCTATGCTGCTTAATTTAGGAATTTATTTTTAAATGAAACAAATATTACAAACAGAAGTAGTCTTTCACCAAATTAAAGTGCCGCTAAATCTGTTTAGAAAACAAATTGTTTAGGAGGGAAGGTCGTCGGGACATCGGCTCTGTCCCGCCTCCCCAATCACATTACAGAAATTGACACCCCTGGCTCAAGGTCAATCATTACGTATAACATCCTGTATCATTCTCCCGTTCGGGATTTTTTCAGTGACGATTACCGGCAAATACACCTCCGTTACATCGTACATTGTAAGAACATCATTCCATTGGCAGTCGCCCTGACGGTGGTTACCGGAAAAAACTGCGAGATATCCCCTCAAGTGTGCGCTTTACTGGGTCGCAGAGAGAAACTCGCTGAACTGCGATCCGACCTACGAGCTGGAGGAGATGATCATCGAGTCCAGACCGCTGCACAAGAAGAAGAAGCGCCTCCTGAAGCAGCGGTCCGTGCGGGAGGGCCTGGGTCAGCAGGCGGAACAGGTGAGCGCCGGTAACGGTGAGAGCGCCGGGCGCAGTTGGTGCATTTGCCAGTAGCGGGAGCGGCGGGCGCGGCGGTCATTTGGTGCATGTTGCCAGTAGCGGGAGCGGCGGGCGCGGCGGTCATTGGTGCATGTTGCCAGTAGCGGGAGCGGCGGGCGCGGCGAGTTGGTGCATGTTGCCAGTAGCGGAGCGGCGGGCGCGGCGGTCAGTTGGTGCATGTTGCCAGTAGCGGGAGCGGGCGGGCGCGGCGGTCAGTTGGTGCATGTTGCCAGTAGCGGGAGCGGCGGGCGCGGCGGAGTCAGTTAGTGCATGTTGCCAGTAGCGGGAGCGGCGGGCGCGGCGGTCATTGGTGCATGTTGCCAGTAGCGGGGCGGCGGGCGCGGCGGTCAGTTGGTGCATGTTGCCAGTAGCGGGAGCGGCGGGCGGCGGCAGTCAGTTGGTGCATGTTGCCAGTAGCGGGAGCGGCGGGCGCGGCGTCGTTGGTGCATGTTGCCAGTAGCGGAGCGGCGGGCGCGGGCGGTCAGTTGGTGGTGCGTGCCGGCTAGCAGGAGTAGCGAGGCGGCGGTTATTGGTTGCGTGTTGCTAGTAGAGAAAGTAGCTGAGGCGGCAGTCAGTTGGTGCGTGTCGTCAGCAGCGGGAGGGGCTGGATCAGCGCCTGCCAGCAAAAAGGAGAGACCGGGGCGGCCGTCCGGGCTGATGAGCGTTGTCGGCAGTCAAAGTTTTTGAGGTAGTGGGCAGCGCTGGTGAGCGTCGCCAACGATGAGAGGACCTGGGGCAACAGTTACAGCCGGCGAGCGCCGCCAACGGCTGTGGGAGGCTAGGCAAGCTGGCAGAGGTCGTGTCATCAACAGCCTCGCGTTTCGTTCTGCACTCTTAGGCTGTTAACCAGTTTATCCGTGTGAGTTGTGCATGGTTGTGTGGACACGCGATGTCTCGTTGCTCTTCAGGAGGGCATTTTGGATGATCATTCCTTAGACCTGTCGGCCGTTTTACTATTCGTTTCGAATTGGTCTTATGCAGATACTACAGTTTCCCAAGGTGTCGTCCTAGTCGATTATGCTATTATTCGCGCTTGATATTCGCATAACCTATTAAGTTGCGTTGCGTTTTGTGTGTTAAAATGATGCTAACGACAAGCGCGATGGTCATCCGTATTTCTGGACTGAGCTTGGTATAACCGCAACCCATACTTCCAGCGCTGCTCCGACATAGAATGTTCATCCATCACAAGGGCACGTCCAGCTGCGGTTCAGCAGTGACTCTCGTTCTCGTGTGACCACCCGCCGCATGCCCGGCAGACGGAGGACCCGCTTCAGCAGCGGCTGCAGACGGTGGCCGGTGACTTCTTCGTCTACGACCGCGAGAAGGAGCTGGCGCAGCGGCAGCGCGACCGACTGGAGGAGGCCTGGGAGCGCGAGCTGGCCGAGAGCATGCAGCAGTCGTCGCCCATCTCGCAGGTGGACAGCGCGGTCATCGAGCGAATCCGCGCCGACCTGCTGAGCGAAGGGCGTCGTCTGACCGAGGCCGAGCGCGCCGCCGGCAGCAGGACCGTGCAGGCGTTGCAGGACATGCAACTGGGACGGCCGGCGGCTACCGAGGCGACGGCGTCCGCCAGCAGTCACATCAGCACGCCCGCGCGCCGCCGCACCCGCCTCCAGCACCAGATGACCGTCACCTAGACGGGTCACCGGCCCGGGGAACTAAGGGGGTTGGGGCGGGGTGGGGTTGGAGTACAGCGGGCTGCGTGGTGTCGGGTGTTGGGGGACGGATTGGGGTTGGTGAGACAATGTGTTGAAGTGACCTATCTGATGGGGACACTGCGTGCCGTGGGCTCGTGGGCTGCGTTTGGTCACTGGACGGAATGTGTGGTGCTGAAGTGACGGAGTCCCCCACGCGAAACAGCGGGGAGCACCCGTTCGTGTATGGAGTTGGTACCACCTGCGTACCTTCATAACGTGTACCCTATGCTGCTCTGTGGGTCACATCAGGTGACCTGGTGTGTTTCTGAACGATGTCGTGCCTTCCGGGCTCTATCATTAGCGTGCAAGCCGAATCGGTTCCTTTTAAAATAACTCAGCCCTGTTCGGAATTAAAAAGCGACCTGTGACTGTTCTGGTCCCCTGGTGGATGCCTGTGAAGACTTTCAGACTCGCTGCACCACGCAGAAGCTCGTGATCTATGAAGCGGTGTGGCAAGCTGTGTTTCCCGTCGAGCGACGGGAACGATAGCCAAAAGCCCCGAGTAGCCTGTACAAGCTGTTGGGCCGGTGAGTCGTTTTATTCTTGTTAGAAATAGACCTGGTACCGGAAACGACGATACCCGCCTACTGAACAGAACGTGTTGACTGAGTTGACGCGGTCGGCGTCCGACAACAACACTCCTAGATGAAGACTGGACATTTGAAGACAGCTGCGCTAACCACAAAACCCTTGATGCATCTTCTATTTGCAGCTTGCGTCCAAGCAGGGGCCTGAGACGGCTTTGGTGTTTTCTTGCTACTAAATGATTCTTCATTTGAAATATGAATTTAGAAAAGGCTGCATTTATGTTATATGTTATGCATTACGTGTGATCACTGCTCAGCGTGAGCCCTGATCCCAAAATCCGTACATTCGGAAGGTTCGGATTTAAATCATTAAAGAAAACTATAGTTATAAAACACTCTTTGTTGGCGTGTTTTTTGCATTATTCGTGGTTGAACATTTGAGCGTCTTTGTTTTAATAGTCAGTGTTCATCAGCCTATCAAAACGCCTCCGCGTCGGCCCATTGAGCACGAACGCACTTTTCAAAATTCAATAATGGCCCACACCTGCTGATATCTCGCCAACGGCGTGTTAGCCGCTGAACGCGGGAAAATTGAGGCCGTCATCTCTAGCTGCTAGACCACCACTGTGATGGGTGGACATTAACCTGATGTGAGACAGGCAATCTAAATGTTCGTCAATTCTCAACAAAACATGGCAGGACAGCACGTGCTTGAGATTTGAATTGCGTTTATTATTCCTTTTCCTGCTCTTTTCAAATTGATCCTAAAAGTGAAACACCCTGTAGATGGAACTGCATCAACAGACCTTGGTTGTGGATGATTGAAAAGAAAACTGATGAATCCGGGCACTGAGCTGAGCTGCATATGTCACAGCCAGCGCTATCGTCTGGCTGGCCCACCAATGCAGGGTAAATTCTATTGCCGATCTTGGGTCGTGGTTCAGGCCCTGAAGATAGCAAGGGTGTAGTTTTGCCAAATAAGCTGTGGGGGAGGGGAAATGAGCAGTGATAAAGGTCTCAACCTCCACAAAATGCGCCAGAAAATGTTTTTTTTTCCGAACGTGGCCCACTTTCTTCCCAGAGTGTGGGGGATGGAAAGGGCATGCACACGTGGGTTTCACAGGTTTAACACAGGGAGCTAGAATCGTTTTTGAACTAGGGTGGGAGTGAAAAATTCCGTCGCACAAAGACTGTGCGGGAGTGAAAAAATTACTTCACAAAAATGGAACTTATGAGCTCGTGACTGATGACTTAGCAAACAAAGATATTTATTTCAAGTTGGCATGGACGTTATGTCAGAAACCTGATAAAACTGTTTCGATTTTTAACATCTTAGGCCATTTAAGTGAAACAGAATACATCAAAGCATAGTAATTTCATGACAATGTAATGAGCGTAACAAATTATTAACACCCATAATTTGATGCAGCACTTTGCACTTCCCTTCCACAGCACTTTTAACACAAAACAAAGCAAGGAAATTCAATAACAAAATAACAACAGAAAATTCAACAAGCATACAACACTCAAACAAAAAAAAACTTGGACTCCTACACATCAGCCCATCACTACGTCAAACACAATAGACACGCCCCTGGCTTCTGTTAAGATGGGGTCAGGGAAAACAAACATCTTGTCACTGCTTCTTACAAAACACCAATGTTTATTTCCATGAAAGAAGCCTTACTATGCCTAACCTAAAGAGGCCTTACTTCATCTCATCCTGTCCAACCTACTTGCATCACAGCAGCAGCTGTGAGTTACTGATTCTTGCACAATTCCATTGCCACTTGCCATGCACTTCCAATTTAACCTAACTCAGTGTAGCCTATATTGAACATCATCTCAACCACCTATCTGTTGACAGCAGCACTTGTAATAAAAACATGATAAAGCTAATTTTTGGCTGTCTCAACTTGTATTTGTATTCAGCTCGTTTGTATATGCTTGTTGACATCAACAAAGTTGACAACATACAAATAAAAACACTTTAAATCACTTTGAGCCATATTTGATTGCCATGGTTAACCTATGTCAGAGCAAAAGATATGCCACCAGAACAAGCCTCTTCTCCAAAAGTGACATCAATTTTAGATGACCAGCCATATTGTCTGCTGTCTTTTTCAGCTGCAGCAGGGCAATCTATTTTAGGCTTGTTTTATATTTATATTTACTGACAAAGGTTGAGATGTTGGCTTCACATTTTAAATGGGATGATCTGATTATTTGTTACATACTAATATTTAACTCAATTATAACTGCTATGCAGCTTCGAGTATCTCTGTGTTAAAAATATAGTGCATTTAAACAGTACTGTCATTTGCCAGTCAGCAAACCATGACCACTGAAGAAAACATCTAGTTAAAGCAGCCATGAGGGACCACTTCAAGAAGTTTGTGGCAAATAATCGAGAGTATGGAACATTGCGTGCCTTGTGGCATTATAGTTTGTCTTAAAACACAACTCGATGGATTAAAACAGAAAATGGCTAACTCTGGTTACAAATCATGTGTTGAAAGCAGGTAAGGTAAACAATCACTTGGTCCACAGGAGACTTTCAGAGACTGGATTCTTCCTGCTCCCCCACAACAAAAAGTCAGTACCTTTTGCATGGTCTGCTGGCTGACAGAGTTATCTCACTTACCCCCCAAACATAATATAAGTTGTGCCCACCAACCTACGAGATTAAATGGGAAACAAGTAAGAGGTGTGCATGATAAACATCTCCAGAGTGCAGAATTTCGCCATCAAACACTTTTGTATTAGCTGCGTCAGGTTTGCCCCGAGGCCCTGTGTGGCAGCATTACGATAGCCTTGTTAGGTAGCCTGGTGAGTACAACACTCGAAAGGCTTAGATTTATAATTATTGAGCACCGCCATGAAGAAAACGGTTAACCGAAGGTTTAACGGGGCAAAAATGGCGGCAAAAGTAAGTTCCGTGCTTCAGATTGTCTCCTTCATTCCTGTGAATTGTTCACTCTTGGGTGCATATCAAACAAGCTTGGGCGACTGGCGAATTAATCCAATTTATGTATGAATACGTGCAAATTTCCAGTTGGAGCATCTTGCAGAGAAATTGGTCAACATTTTAAGCAGGTGGCCAGCGCGTCATGGCAGTCCGTAGCATGGGGCCGGGGCATCGTTGTGCTCATCCCAGGCTCACGATGTTTATTGTCATGAAAAAGCAAAGCCAACAGCTACTCCAGCACGTGCTCCGCAAGGCTGTAGAGATGACCGTATAGGTCAACGGTATCGCATGACTGGACTCAGATGCTGTTGTTTTTGTACACACTTAGCGGGCCTCACTTGGGGAGACTGTCCAGAGGCGGATCCAGGGGAGGCACGGGGCCATGCCCCTTCCCTCCTGCCTCCCCCCCCCCCCCCTCTTGGACCCCGAAGGGCTCCATAGGCTGCCAAGGGCCATATCCCGAACAGACGAGTTGTTTAACACAAAACCCAACGAACTTGGATGTCTTCTGGCCTCCAGGCGGCCGGTAGCAGTCGCAAGCGAAAGCGAAGGTCACACGAGTAAACACAAATAATTATTCGTTCATTGAGAGGGTGGTGATTGAGCGATTGAGAGGTTCCTTACGCTGTCTGGAAGGTTCTTTATGCCAACAGAGGGTTCGCTGCTTCCGGGGGATTCTATATGTCAACAGTCAGGGCCAATCCGATCGTTTAGGAGCCTTCTGCATTGCCCTTGATTTCTTTGCATTTGCTGTCAACCTGCTGGGTTATTCTCGGTTGCTCAGGGCCCCTTACGCTGGTCTCGGTCAATGTATCAACACGCTCGCAATATGCAGCACACTCGCAATATGCTACATGGGCATAGGTACTTTCAGATTATCTTTCACTTGATAAGGGTCCTACCCTCTTGTCGGGCCCAGCTGTTAGCCTCTTGGGCACACTCGGTCGTTCGGCGGCTCTCCACATTGGGTCTTGGGTACTTCCTATTTGAATGGAGGGCCCTTCGCACTTTCGGGGGTCCATCTGTTAAACTTGCTCGGGCACACTGGATGTTCGGGGGTTTTGCACATGGGTTTTGGTACCTGAATGTAAGGTCCTACGCTCCCGTCGGAGGTCATCTGATGGCCTGCTCGGGTGTACTCGATCGTTCGGGGAGCCCTCCACATTGTGCCGTTGATATTTCTTATTTGAATGGAGGGCCCTACGCTCTTGTCGGGTTCCAATCTGATAGCCTGCTTGGGTAACCTTTGTGTTTCGGGGTCCCTCCACACTGGATTTTGGTTACTTCTTGTTTGAATGGAGGGCCCCACGCTCTTGTCGAGGTCCCATTTGTCAAGCTGCTCAGGCACGCTCGATCATTCCGGGGCCCTCCATATTGCGTCTTGGGTACTTCTTATTTTGAATGGGGGGCCCTATGTTCTTATCGGGGCCATGAAGGTTCTCGGG